CGAATTGTTCAGTCAGGGTGTATTTCATATCTATTTTGTCTATCTTTTTACTCTTCTTACAGATACCTCTACGACACCTCTTTCTTTACATCTTTTTTATGTTTCACTCTCTCTCTCTCTCTCTCCATCTGTCTATCTATTTCAATTTCTCTCTATCTATCTATTTAACTATCTATCTATCTATAGATAGATAGATAGATAGATAGATTCTATATATATCCATCTATTCTATATATATCCATCTATTCTATATATACCCATCTATTCTATATATATATCTATCTATTATATATATACATATCTATTCTATATCTATCTATCTATCTATCCATTTCTCTCTCTCTCTCTCTCTCTCTCTATCTATCTATCTATCTATCTATCTATCTATCTATCTATCTATCTATCTATCTCTCTGCCTATCTATCTATCTATCTATCTATCTATCTCTCTTTCTTTCCCTCTTTCTCTTCCTTTCTCTTTTCTATTTCTCTTTCTCTTTCTCTCTCACTCTCCCTTTAACTTTCTTTTTCTTTTTCAGTATGTTCACAATTATAGAATATTGTTATTGCTACCATTTGTTGGCACTTTTTGTATTTATATAGTGTTCTCTTATGATATTTTAACTTTTTTTTCTTCGTCTCTTTCTGCTTTTTTTCATTTTTCTTTACGACCACTTTATGACTTTGTTTGTTTGTTTGTTTGTTTTACTTCATGCAGATTTTCGTCTTCTTTTATTTCCTCTCTTTTCTTTCTCTCTTTTTGTAATTCTATTTTCGCTGTTGCAAATTGATTTAATTTATTATTTTTTTCTTCAATGTGTAGTTCGATAGAGTAAGTAGATATAACAGCGTGAAAGGCAAATATGTAATGGATATTTGTACATAGTGAATGAGCAAACAGATAGATAGATAGATAGACAGATAGATAGATAAATAGACAAACATCGATAAACAAAATATTAGATAGATAGATAGATAGATAGACAAACATCGATAAACAAAATATTAGATAGATAGATAGAATACTAGATAGATTAGATAGATAGACAGAGAGATAGATGGATGATACTGCATAGATTGGATAGATAGATACAGAGAAAGACGGGTAAATAGACGGAGTGGAAGAAGAACTGATTAATTAATGACCTCGTTTTATAAACAGACGTACACTCTATTATAAAAGCAAACACACAAACAAATGAAATGATGTATGATGGATAGGCAAATAGATAGATTTTATAGATGGACTGATAATGCATGTATGTGACCTTTGTAAACGGGGGTGTGCATGTATATACTGTGTGACTGCATGACTGTGCTGACATTTAAGTTTGCGTGTGTGTTTATGTGCATGTGTATGTTTGCATGATTGTATGTATGTCTACTTGAAAGAGAGAGAGTGCGTGTGCTTGCATGTGTTTGTGTGTATGTAATGATTTGCA